TATGATTCTATGATTCTATGATCTTATTCTTTTTTTTTCAGTCTCTCAAAGTTTACATTCATGGTCCTCCTGGGGCTGGCAAATCTACCATTGCTGAGGAGCTCTGCAGACACTACAGGCTACATCACATTAAGATAAATGATGTGATTTCTGAAAGAATTGCAAATCTGGTGTGTTGCTGTTTTCTAATGTTCATATTATTTTAATTTCTGTATTTTAAAAATGTTTGAATAATTTAAAATTAGTTATAATACTATTATATTTGAATGGAAATATCTTTTGACCTCCTGGTCACCTCCGGGGGTTGCACTGAACTATTTTTAGAGAGCGAAGGTTGCTCAGTATCTCACTGTCCAAGAACATACATGAAATTAATTCTTTTATCTTTTTTATTACATCTATGTATGAAATAAATTTGTCTATGGAATTACTGAGCCTGTTCATATTTCTGTTCTTGTTATCAGGAGAAAATTGTGGCTAAAGAACTGGACTTTGACAATGTGGGAGAGCAGGAAGAAGATAATGTAGAGGAGGAAGAAGGTGATGTAGAGGAGCAGGGTGAAAATAAAGAAGAAGCACAGGAATTATTAAATAAACTTAAAAAAAACATGAAGAAGAATGAAGGTAGGAAATACAAAGTACTAAGGTGGGATTTAGGTAACTAGTGTTACCAAATGCAAATGGAAAATCAGGAAATAAATATTCTACATTAGATGTTACTGTGGATGCCTGGGCCCCACCAAAGCTGCTCTGTCACTCCCTTCATCAGATGGACAGGGGAGAAAATACAGTGCAAGGTTCATGAGATAGTAACATACTTTTATGATTGGAATGGTTTATAAATATCCAAGACTTTTAATAGCCAAAGCAAAATAAAGTAGGAAGCTGGAGTCAATAGTTACAAAAGTCCAAAAAATCAGGTCAAACCAAACTTTTTCCTCCCATGTATTTTCTCCACAATGTAGGACAAGCTAACAAACCAATTCATGACTCAAAAATCTGTTTGTCTGAAAATGAAACTTGTGAAACTTATCTCACATCTTTTTTGCAAGACTATCCTTGAGTCTTACTGTTAGTTGTAAATAGAAAATTACTGCTTTTTCTCATTATGTTTTCTCTAAATGTTTCTTTACTGCTTCTATTAAAATCTGGTTGTATTATTCTAAATTAAATTAATATTTAGTATCCTCAAAGTTCTAATATTTATATCCTTGTAAACACAAATGTAATTTTCCATATTCCAATGTTCCATAGATCACTGTCAACACATAATATACAAATAGTAACTCAAAATAAGTAACTTTTCTAGAGTCTAGCTTTAAGTTTTCCTGATAAAAGAATTTAAATGTTATTAAAATAATTTCATATATCTTGTTTCTATGAACTAGGTACCTATTAACTTTATTTGTCTTAGGTCGTCTAAGTGATCGGTATGTTCTTCCACTGGTGAAGGATAAGCTCAAATCTATGCCTTGTAGGAATCAGGGATATGTTCTAGATGGGTTCCCAGAGACCTATGACCAGGCAAGAGAACTTTTCAGTGGTAAGTGCTGCTGCTTTTGGTTTTCTTGCTCCTAATATTGTCATTATCATTATTGTTCTCAGTGCTATACTAGTTGAAGTGCATCAGCACTGTAATGACTGTCGTGCAGGGTACAAAACGAAGTTGGTTTCACGTGATTCTTAGAATGTAAGGATTGTAATGCACCTTATTTAATTTCAGCACAATATAGTTTTCAGACTGTCATTCCTGGCAAAGGGATAAGTAAATGCACAAATGTGGAGGATGCTTTCTTGTTCAGTGTAAGTCTAGAATCATAGAATCATCACGGTTGGAGGAGACCTTTAAGATCATCAAGTCCAACCGTTAACCTGCCACTGCTGTAACCTTTAAACCTTAAACTATATCCTCCAGCATCAGATCCAGACACCTCTTAAACACTTCCAGGGATGGTGACTCCACAACCTACATGAGCAACCTATTCCAGTGCCTGACCACCCTAACAGGGAAAACATTTTTCCTTACATCTAATCTGAATCTCCTCTGTCTCAGCTTATGACCATTCCCTCTAGTCCTCCCACTGCTGACATGGCAGAAGAGGCTCTGTTTAACCAAGCTCTACAACAGAATTTCTTCATAACATTTAAGGAGATCCAGCCACTGCACCACTACATACTTAGGAAGCCAAATTAGAGTAGGTTTATTAGATCAGCTCCAGTAGATATGACTTCAGAGAAGCTTTGCAACACACATTTCAAATTGTGAGCAAGCACTGTCCATTCATTAAGACCAAGAGTAATCTCCATGTTTATGTCACAACATGAGGTTTGGAATAAAAGAAAAAACAGTCTTGTTCTGCTTAACATGCTGCTCTGTAAATGGTCATGCTCAGCTGATGCTCTTCAGGCAGCCTTACTGACTACTGAGAACAGCAGACGCTTTTGTCTGCTTGTGTGGCTAAAACATTTTAACCATACTACTGTAAAACATTTCTACTCACTGTTCTGAGCCTCGTCTCTGGTTTTGGCAGAATAATGTACTTGGCAGGACAGCAATTTTAAAATTGGACACATTTTAAAATTGTTTATGCATGTATATACTTCTGCAGGACCAGCAAACAACTGCTAGTGTCCCAAGGTAGAACTGTGGTGGCTGGCAGCACAAATTACATACTGAGCTCTCTAAACTGGTGTCAAGGTTAGATTAATTGCCAACTATTAGTATAATTTAGAAATAGACAAACTTGTGTTTGTACTGGGCACATTTTTAGCAAAGACAGTGATATTGTTGCTGCAAATGAAAATGTCAATCATTTCTTACTTCTGTTTTAGCAGAAAGTGATGATGAAGAAGAAACAGAAAGCAAAATGCCTAAATATCATAAAATAATCACACCTGGTAAGTTTGATAGATTTCTTTTTAAATCAACTGAGGAATTTCAAAATGCTGCTGCCACCAACGAGAAGTCTAAAATATCACTCCATCTGTTCCTATTTAATTTCACTTGAAATAAGTATCTAGTTCATGTAATGCTGTTGCCCTCATATTTGAAAGTGAACAATTAATCATAGAATCATTTAGGTTGGAAAAGACCACTAAGAACATCAAGTCCAAATGTTAATACAGGACTGCCAAGCCCATCACTAAAGCATGTCCCTAAGTGCCACATAGCTCTTAAATACCTCCAGGGATGGTGACTCAACCACTTCCCTAGAAAGCCTGTTCCAATGCTTGACAACTCCTTTGATGAAGAAATTTTTCCTAATCAAAAGGAAGGTTTTGTACTGGTTCAGGGGTGTTTTTCTTGTTTGTTTTGGGGGGGGTTATTGGCTGTTTTTTTTGTGAACATGCCATCAGCTCTTGGCTGATAACAAAAGTAGTGGTTGTGATTACAGCAGCTGTTAATGAAATGACCTCCTGAACTTGGCACTTTCATCATAGAATTATCCCAGAATTTTAAGGGTTGGAACGGAGAGTAGAGACCATTTAGTCTCAACCTCCCACCACTGCAGGTTGCTCAAGGCTTCATCCAACCTGGCTTTGAACACTGCCAGGGTTGGAGCATCCACTACCTCCCCGGGCAACCTCTGCCAGTGTCTCACCACCCTTACAGTAAAAAATCTTTTTCTAATATCTAACCTAAACTTCTCCTCAAGTTTTTAAGAACCATAAGTTTATCTTTAGTATGGTATATTGAAAGGTGTTACCAAATTCATTGTAATGCATCAGCTATGCTGGGAATTAGAATAGAGTGGTTTTCATCTATGCAGAAATTGCTTCAACCTGGTGGTTTTGCTATTTTTGATTTCTTTGGAAATTTTGATTATATTTAAAAAATATGTTCTTCTTCACAGAATTCGTTTTTTCTTTGACTGCATCTGATGAATTCCTTACAAACAGAATAATAAATCTGCCAGAGGGTGATGTTGCTGGAACTCAGTATACCCAGGACCAGTTCTTGCAAGCTCTGAAACTCTTCCGAGAGTTAAACACAGAGGATACAACGGTTGTCAACTATTTTGATGAACTTGAGATACATCCTCAGTTTATTGGTATGAAGTAAGAAAATTCATAGATAAAATATGCCTAAAAATTTTGTTGTTACAAGTTTAACACTTGCAAAAAATATAAAGTGTATATAGAATCATAGAATCATCAAGGCTGGAGGAGACCTCTAAGATCATCAGGTCCAACCATTAAACTGCCACTCTGCTGGAACCACTAAACCCTAAACCATATCCTCCAGTG